TCATGAACTTGGCGTACTTGGGCATCTTCGACAGTGCCTCCACGAACGACATGCTGATGTTGAGCTGCTTCAACATTGCCATAAACTTGGCAAACTCAGTCTCCAACTTGTCTTTGTGTAGTCGAGTGGGGAAGGGAAGCTGGGGTACATGCTCCTTAACCACTGGATGTGGCTTGGGAGCAGGGGCTTCCTTCTCCACCCTCACTTCTGCATCGTCGGCTGGAAGTGCTAAAGCAGGCAGTGGCTCTTCCTCCCTGGCCTGGGCAGGTACCGCCGATGTGGACTTGCCACTCCTAATGGTGATGGCATTCAACTGCTGGTGCGGCTCCCGTGGATTGGGGATGGTAGTGGCAGGTAGAGTTCCCGGGGCCCGGGTATTGTTCTGACGAGCTATTCCTCCAAGCTGATGCTGGAGGTCCTGCAGTATAGCACCTTGGTTCCTCTGACCTGCCTCCAGCGAGGCGATGCTTTGGTCTATCCTGGTAAAATTCGCCTGGCTGGTAGTCATGAATGCCGCTATAATGTTTTTCAGCTCCGTCATCTGATTAAATGGAGCCGGAGCTGCTGCTGGCTCGGCATACTAATGCTGAGGCTGCTGAAACGGTTGCCCCTGCCTAGGCTGGTAAGGCTGCTGCTGAGGGACTGGCCCCTGTCTAGCCTGGAAAGGCTGCCTCTGCTGAAAACCACCTGGTGGTTCTGGGAAACCAGGTGGTTTAGTGGTGTTGCTATTCCAAGCAAAGTTGGGATGTTGGCGCCACCCCTCATTGTATGTATTGATGTATGGGTCAAAGCGCCGAGCATTGGCGATGAAGTCCACCTGCTCTTGGGGAGTAGAAGACTCCCGCTTAGCTTGGCAGTCTTCTACCAGATGGTTCGAGCTCTCACACCACTGACATTGAGCTACTAGAGGTCCGCCCAGACCCCTGCTCGGAATAAGACTGTTGGACTGCTTCAATGTCTGCACTAACTCAGCCACCTGCTGCTCGAGCCCGGACCTGGCCCCCATGGCGTGCACACCACGATCCCGGGAATTCCTGCCTCTGGTGCTCTGCCCCAGGAATGATTTCTGGCAGCCAAGGTACTGATCATCTGGTTCAGTTCGAGTGGAGTCTTAGTAAGAATATCCCCTCCTGGGCATAGAGACTCAATCACCCTCTGTCTTTCCGAAGAGAGAGCACTGTAGAAGTTCCCCACGGTGAATGCATCACTGAAACCATGATGAGGGCACTGCCAAAAATACCCCGAGTACCTCTCCCATGCATCACGAAGTGACTCGTCTGGCTCTTGGCGGAAGTGAGTGATCTCCCGCTGGATCTCTGTGGTTTTCGATGCTGGATAGTACCGGTGCATGAACTTGTCGGCCAGATCGTCCCAAGAAGTGATGGACAATGGGGGCTGGTTCTCCAACCACCTCTTAGCATGCCCCCCAGAGAATGGGGGAAGAGGTGAAGGCGGATTGCATCATCAGGGACACCGTTTAGCTTGAACCTGTTCGTCAGCTGCAGGAAACGGGAAAGGTGCACCCTTGCCTCCTCATCCTTCAAGCCATGAAACTAGATAGAGGAAGTCATGAGTTGAATGCAGCATGGCTTGATCTCGAAGTTGTTCGCTGGAATGGGCGGGTAGAGGATGACATGGCGGATATCCGCAATCCGTGGAGTGTAGTAGTACTCCAAGGTGGGACCCGGCGGTGGTGGTTGATGATGAACCCCATCGGCCTGGGGTATTGGGTTGGTCCCCAGGATGTGGTTCACTTGGGGAACCTGGAGAGGTATCCCCTGTGGCGGGTTATGGTCTCCTTCCATCTCGTACTCTTCCTCGGAACCGCTGCTCAAGTGGCCGTCTATGCGCTCCTCCGTAGCCAGTCTAGCTCGCTGTTGTCTCCTAAGTTGGCGACAGGTACGTTCAAGCTCCGGATCCAATGGCAGTAAACCTCCTGACTGGCTACGGGTCATGCACTACCTGCACACAGTCAAGCAGCAAACCCGTGAAGGCACAAGTGTGACAAAGCAAACAATGCGAAAAAGAAAAGCTAAATTAACAGGATTCACGTTTCTTCAACAACCTAGCCGTCCCCGGCAACGACGCCAAAAATTTGACTCGCTCCTACTGTCACTCTAGAAAATGGCCAAGTGTAACCACCTCCTAAAGCGTAGTATAGCGGGTTTGGATTTTAATGTCAACCCGGGTCCTAGATGTGATGACTACTCCGTGAGTTCTTATTATTTAGCAGTGAAACTTTAGTGAAGGTCAAAACAAGCAAACAAGCAAAGCAAGTAAAAAGGTTGTTTTCAAGTCGTGAGAGGTCACCCGGATATGGTTCCCCCTAGACTACAGTTAAGCCGGATTGTAATTTACCAAGTTCAGGTTCAATGATAGTTATACTGCGGGAGGTTCTTAAACAGTCTGAAGTCTCGACTAAAGGTCTCCAGACCCTCTCAAGCTGAGTCTCCAGCGGGCGACTAACCTCCACCGGAGTAAACAGATTGAGGCCCTAACGAACCAAACCTCCACCACCGAAGTGAATTCGGTACAGAATAGTGAATTGACTCGACTAAAGTCGTCAATTCACTACCTTCAATCAAGGGTGCTCTATCAACCTAGGCAGATATTCTCTTTCTTGGTTAAACAGAAACAACAGGAATTTGATCAGGATTCATGCCATTCAACAAATCAAACCTCAATTGAACATAATCATATCAATGAATATGTACTTGGGTTCATACAATCAGACCTAACATACAAATCTAGGGTTCTTCATACCCAGGTGAATAAGAAAGTTACTCCATAGAGAGAGATGGAAAATCTAGCTCAGATGCGGAAACCATACTGTGAAGGATGGGAATCTGCTTCTGGCACTCAATCAGGTCTTCTTTAAGCTCAAGCCACGCTCCAATGGTGATGGAGATCGATCAAGGACACTTGCAGAGTTAGGTTCGTCACTTTCTCTCTCTAGGTATCGCTTTTTCTCTCTAAAACTCGGAACCCTTGTCTTTTGCCCTTCTTTTCCCTTAAAAAGCTGTCTGTCGCGATCCCCGGTCTGAATACTCGGTCGGGTATTTTGGGTGGCGACCGGGTATATTCAAAAGGCAGCGTCTGAAGACAGAGGAAAATCCCCGGTCAATGCCAAGAATCCCCGACCGGGGATGTCCGCTCTGTGCTCGGGCCCCCTTCTGCTTCTCCGAGACGCCAGAAGCAACAAATCCTCGGTCTGCTCCAAATAATACCCGACCGGGTATTTCTGCTCATGGCCGGGTATTTTGCACCTCCAGCACACTTCACCCCAAACGTGCTCCTTTCGACCCGAAACTCGTTTCTTCGCCTCGATGTCAACGCTAAGCCTTGAAATATGACATAACGCACAACCTAGCGTGAAATCGGCTTAAAACACGAGAATCAACATCTCAAACGGCTCAAGAATAGGGGTAAAAACATGTGTAATCAATGGTCTATCACGGGCGGATTCTTAGTCCATTCAGGTCCTCTTTGAGCAACCTAATGGTGGAGGCATTGATTTGTGCTGAGGATTGGATAAGGTATCCCGGATCCAGGGAGATTGATGATAAGGAAGATGATGAAGAGAATTTGACTTTGGAAAGTAGTGAGTTCTCAAACTCTCTTATTGTTCAGTTTTTGGCCATCTTTCCAACTAATTCAATGTATGAATGTACTAACACTTTGTTTTCCTTTTATTTTCTTACTCAGTTAATGTCACTTTCCAATGGAGAATGAGCAGGAGGGTGAAGAAGAAGTACCGGAGGAAGAGTATTAGAAAGATGGATATGATGATTATGGTCATGACTTGTTGCCCCAATTGAACGAACAGGGTTATGCAGATGTTGGTTCTTCTAAGGCTGGTGATAAGTGATGATAGATGATGATGTGTTGGTTGTTTGTTGTTATCTAGAGGATTTATTGTGATTTGTGGAGTTTATGTTGTTGAATTAATGAATGTGAGACATTAAGTTGCTAATTTATATGTATTTTCGATGCAAAAGGAATTGAAATGTAGGTTTGAAATTTTAATTTTAGGCGATTTTAGGTTTTGTTCCCGGTCGGTTACCGGTCGGTTAGGTGGCTCCAATCAAACCGGCCTTCAAATTTCGGTTTCCCTAATTAAACCGCGCTGAACCAAAAACCGACAGGTCGGTATGTTGCTAATCGAGGCTGGAGGGACGGTCGATCGACGACAACAGCTGTTCGTGTCTCGGTTTAACCAAAAACCGAGATTTCGGTTTTCGGTTAAACTGAAACCGACCGACTGCCACCCCTAGATTGTTTACATCTAGGTTGCAATTGGATGTTCAGTTTTTACTTATTTATTTATTTTCCATAGTTATCTTGAAAGAGAATATTAGAAACAAAGTACAAAATCATATCCTTTTTGGTCTGATAAATTCAAAACAAAATTGAAAAGGGATGTTAGTCGATTAAACACCATATATATTTGCATTGCAACGAGTCTCTTTGTGTCTTACTATTATTTTAGGATTTTTTTTCAAAAGAAAATTTATGAAATAATTCATTAATTAGTGCTTGTTAATTAAAATTATTAGATGCATTAATTGGTAAATGAGATTGAAAAAATTACCTAAAATTAGTTTATATGCCTGAATGCAAGTGAATCATCTTAACTAAATTAATGAACTGTATGGAAATATAGGTAAAACAAAAGAATTTATTTCACAATGAGAAGATATTTCTCTCGTCAGAACGTTAGTGTTCTCTCTTGGAACCAACAAAGTAATATTTACTCAATTCATTTTGTACATATACTAAGTGTTCATATATAGAAAAACATTAGGTGTTAGGGTTTTGGAATTTGTTTGAAGTAAAAGGAAAATTTTGGAATATGCTTCTAATTACAGGGTTAGAATGCTAGCTAGGAAGGAGGCAGCAAGCTTCACAGAAAATGGTTTCTTTTGTCATGTTTTGTGATTGATGAGCCATTGGTTCAGATCAAGTCAATAAGTTTAGGTTATGCAATCATACAAAAAAATGTCATTAACTATACTTTAGTCATTTTAATTTGAATTTAAAAAAAAAATCTTACATGAGCCAAATTAGTTGTACTTTATAAATTGGGGTGTTCTGCCATGATGTCTACGCAAAGGGGTTGGTGGAAGACCCTCTTAGGCGGTGCTTTGTAATGCAGCGTGAGATGTTGTTCCAGGAAATTCCAGATCCACTCTTGCCGATTATGCATTTCGTGGCTCTGATGTTCCTGTTGTGGCTAGAACAGTGTTTGGCACAGGTTGCGCCATCGTGGGCGCTTCCTTGTTTATCATGAGCGCTAAGACCGGTTCATCTTCTCTTACAAATATGCGATCACTCTGTTCTGTTGAGCCATTTGCGCACGAACCACTTTGGCCATGAGCTCGGGTTCTTCGTCTTCGATCAATTTCGCTTTTGGGTTGTTGGTTTCATAGAACAGTCTTTGGCTCGTCATTGCTTTGAGCGTGCCCTATCATCATTGCATGTCCCTTGCCTCTCTCGCGGCCCCACGGTGAGCACCAATTGTTTGTGTCTAACTGAGAGTAGGAGTGAGAAACAGGAATGTGGGCTGATATGTTTCAAATTTGTAAATTGAGGCTACCTCACGTCACTCCTAACAAAGCCAAGTATAACTATACTAGGGATGTAGTAAGTGGCTCGATCGTATTCAAGGGAACCTTAGATTTACTATTACTTCCCTCCGAACTATTAAAAAGTACACTCTCTCTCATTCATACATTCATAGCATAAAAAGATCAATTGATAACAAACATTCCACAAACATGATTGCCCCCCCCCCCCCCTCTCACACACACACACACTTAAGGAACATATTGTCCCCAATGTGAGCACAAGTGAAGGATAGGGGAACGAGGTTACCGAATTGTTGATGCCGAGTTGATTGTAGGATCGAAGGGTAGGGTGGATGGGATTGATTGTTCAGAAACATCCACAAGAGAAAGATCAATCATATCTACAAAAAGAAAAATTCAACAAGACAAGTACTCATTAATTTAATAAGAAATCCTACTAAGTACTTAAATAGAAAAACACACATAATACTAGCATCCTATATAGATAATTATTCAAATGAAAAGAAAGACTAGAAAAAGGTAGGAGTTGTTTGGATGAGGAATTGTAACGGATCAATTTGACACAATTGTCTCGTTTTGAGACAAATGTACCAAATTGCCTCGTTTGCCAGCAAAAAATTTGGATAGATCAATCTGCCTGAGGTATTTTGAATGATCCGTTTTGAGTCAATTTCAATTACCTGGGGTGGGGGCAGATAATTCGAATTGACTCGTTTTAATTGTCTCGTTTATAAAACGAGACAATTGATCAAATTGACTCATTTCTAAATTGATCCATCCAAACGACCCCGTAGAGAAATGGCCCTCGGTGCCATCCATGCCATAGAAGGCTCACTCTTTGTCATTGTTGTTGTCGGATGCCTCGGCGATGCCACCATATATTTCAAGATGTATTTGAGAACGGAGGTCTATTGTTCAACCAACTTCGTGCCTTGCCACTTAGGGAGTATGGGAAGAGCCTCAACCTAAGAGCTTCTTGTGGCACTCCATTCATCTGAAGCCATCTGTCAACTTCAGGCTGAGCCCGAACTACAAGCCTTTCCTTTGCTTCCCTTAGCTCCCTCTCACAGAGCCGGAGAGTGCAGTTGATGTTGTCGTCTAGCTGTGCCAAAGGTGCCGGATTACTCAAGGTCATACCCCACCTGAACACACTCCAAACAATACAAGTACAAGTCAAACAAGCAACGCCCAAACTCACACAGTGCAAGAAAATAAATGCTAGGTTAACAGTAGTTTACTTTTTCTGAATAAATAAAACATGCTCCATGCAACGGCGCCAAGAAAACTTGACTCGTGACCTATTACACACTCCCACCGTAGGCCAAGTATAATCCTACGACGAGTGTAGTATAGGGTAAGTATATTTTTAATTATCAATCTAGGCGGTTCGTACCTTACTTCAGTAAACCACACGTCATCTGGAGATCGAAATATTGTTTAAAACTAACAAGCTAAGCAAACAAACAACTAAAACGATGATGAACTCAAGATGAGAACGCTCTACTTGCATGATATTCCCTTTAGTCCTGTGTTGAGAAAGATTGTGACACTTTAGTGCAATAGGCAAGTTCTATATACCGTTAGGAGATCTAATTTAGTTAGGACCTCCTATTCGAGTGCATCCTAACCTGTCTAATCAATCTAATCGAAGGGACGTACCACACTAGCTCAAAAGACCACTAGGGCAACCAATTGCACTCCCTCAGGTATTAACCCAGAATGGCATAGAGACACCAATCACCATAATTCATTGCTCTCTACATTGATTGAATATTGACCCTAATTTCCATAAGAGGATATTCTCTCTCTTAGGTCAACTTGCCCCTAAATTGAGAGATTTGATCAAGAACACTCAGTTTCATGAAAATTGTTCAATTAATATATAATTAACAATGCTCATCATCAAATAGAGATCATTACTACTAAAAAAAATTCAAATAGAGATCATAAACATCAATCTTCAACATCCAAGACTAGAGTTCACATCATTTAAGTAGAAAGAGAAACTACTCCATAGTTAGATAGGGGTGTTCAAATAATTACCATGGTAATAACCCAACCAATTCAGTCTAAATTTTATTAATTATGGAATAAAATGTCTTAACCAAACCGTCCAAATTAACACGAAAACCAAATTAACCAAACCAAAGTTTAATTGGTTTGGTTAATTGGATAATCAGATTAACCAAATAACATTACATTACATGAAAACAATTATCCTGTTAATGAATAAAACATAACCATATGTTATTGCTATCCTAAACTATCATTATATTTAAGCAATAATAATAAGACTAAACATACATGATTATCATCATCATCATTCGAGTTAATAAATTATCCATCATCTCTGCACCTAATATAGTTAGCTTACAACAAACCCTTAACATAAATATTAAATACATAACAATACTATTCATTAGGAAATTAAAGCTCTCCTACAAAACACTTAAACTATACATAGTTTGAGGTGGCTGTCATGGTACTGTACGTAATCCTAAAATCTAGTAGCTATCCAAAATGTTTTGGTTTAGTAAATAGGCATGCTCATTTAAATTTTGACCCATAATGCTTTGGTTTGTTGTGCACATGGATTAAAATAAGGAATCACGAAAGTTTGGTTTGGTTGGTTGCATGGAAGTATAAATAATTTTGTATATTAGGTGTATCAATAATTGGTTAATTGATTTCATTGGTTAGCAATATTGAAACCAAACCAAACCAAACCACCCTACATAGTTCCAGAGCATAGAATGAGCATGGAATTCCTTCTCAATGCCACGCAACTTCCATGAAGATAATACAGGAACGCAAAGAAAAACCCTAACCGCACATGAACACGCAAATTGAAAGGCGCCACCAACTGACAAACTGAACACTACCGGCTAAAGATAAGGTACGAGCAAGTTCGAACAAGGAAAGAAACATAACGAGAAGAAACCTGACAATGGAGAACACGCTTGCGAACACGGCGGGAGAAGGAATCAGAAACAGGGGGAAGAAGCAAAGATACGTTGTTGGTCCATTGAGGAAAGCCTGAGAAACGAATGGTTCTTCCAGCGACAGAGGGGGGACGTTTTTATTCTAACTTTAGGGTTTTATCATAGTTGGAAGAAGCCGCCGGAGAGCTTCTGGTTTTGTCTTTTATTAAGGATTTCTTCCTTCTCCCGTTTTGTTCTCTCTCTCCGCCGTGCTGGTGTTGGCGGTGGTCGTAGTGGCGCGGCGGTGAAATACTGAAGAGAATAGCGTTGTTTCAAAATTATTCAACTGCGTCGAAGGAATTTGGTGCCTTTCCATTTCAGTTATCGGGTTTCAGAGAATAACATTTTTATCCCCCGGCTAGGCCCGGCCCATCTTCCACCGGAACCAAGTCTAGAGTTTTCTCTGAGCTTTTGGTCCTAGGGCCCATTGGAAAATTATAGGGCAATGAGAAAACCCTCGTAAAATATCACTGTCAAGTGTCAACCATATATTTTATTATTTTATCAGCAACGAAATACATTTATCATACGAAATAATGAATATAATTGTTTTATTCAGATAATTAGAAATCAAAAAGTGTTTCATCAAAAAAAAAATATATATATATATAAATCAAAACGTGAGGAGACATATGCGAAAGTGACAATGAATGTTTTGATGTATACACAATAGTAATTTAGTAACCCAATTTTACGAATTTGATTAATTTAAGCATATTTTGGTTGAGTCTCTTGAAGACAATAACTACAATAATTTTTTCATTGCTCTTAAATTCCTTCAATCATATTAGTCTCCTAGATGGCTAGATACGTACAAGCAACTACAATTAATTTCTTATTATTTAACGGCAAATAAAATAAAGGATTTGCAAGAAAGTTACTATGAATTAATGTGCATTTCATATCATGTGACCACGAATTGTGTGTTTCAAAAAAATTACCGGCTCGTTGTTCTTATTCATCACGATCAAGCATAAGGTTTGAAATTAACAAAGCAAAATTTTCGTGATTTCCTCAACTATCATTGTTGAGAGTCCATGATACAAGACATGTATTTTTCTTATTCACTAATCACTGGTCACCATCATACAGTTCTCGAGCTATACAAAGTATATATACTTTCGCTTCCTACAACCCTAAGTCCTAAGTCCTAACCGGTGGCCTCATCAATATGCTAATGCCATTACTTGGTCTGCATAGCGTGCTTAATTATATTATACGTACAATAGCCTTTGCAAATAATTTTAATTTTGCTCTTTTCTCCCTAACAGTCTGCGCTTACTAGCAAAAGTTGAATGTAAATTATAAAGACTATCTATTACATCAAAAGGAAATTCGTTGGGAGGATATTAGTAAAAAGAACTGTCCAAGATCTTATCTTTTTACTACCTAATTAAAGATTGATGTCAGTTTATTAAACAGACATGTAAAAAATCTTTTAGTACGTTCTAGGTTAAGCCAATGCATGAATGCAATATATATATATGGTGGCGTCTTCGGTGCACTCACTTTTTTTGGTGCACTGAACGCACCCATTTTTTTGTTTAATCTCAACCGTTGAACACATCTAACGGTTACAATAATTTGCTTTGTTTATAATTAATTATTAACTAATCAACTATTTTATATTTATTAAAACAATTTATACTGCAACTTGGCCCCTAACATTAACCCTTTCTATTCGCCGTTTCTTTTCCCCGCTTCCACCGTCAATACTATCCCAGTGGCAGGCGAGGAATAGTTTGCAGTGCCTGGCATCGTCGTCCTCCGCCACTAAACCGTCTCAGGCGATTACGGGATGCTCAACATGGAATCAGAGAAAATAAGTTTTCGTTCTTGATTTGTTCCATGAAATCGTCACTTTCTCTTCCATTGTTGGAGTGTTGTCGATCCTTTCCTCTTCTTGACTCGCCACTTTCTTTTTCGATGCCGCTGCTTTCTTGGTCGATTCGTTCGACTTCTCGACGAATTCGCCTTTGTTTTCCTTCGATTCGATCGTTTCCTTGACGAATTCGTGTTTCCTTCTCCAATTTCTTCAATCGGCGCTTCAGCACTCAGTTGTGGTGCGATGGCTCATCTTTTCTTCGAGCTCCGCTTCTCTCGTCTCTGCTCCCGTCGATGCGAACCAGGAGTATTTCTTCGCCAATAGCCGTCACTTGCATCGTCTTCGCCCTTCAGATAACAGCTCCGTCAGGTCCAACTCCTCGCGTTGCTCGGTGATTCTTCTCGGCTATATCCAGCTCATCCAGTCGATCCAGTCCAGGTCTTCAATTGCTCCGGCCGAAGAGTTGCTGAGTTGCTGTGCCTCTGGGTTTCGCGAACACAGGTCCTATCGCCGGCGACGATTGCTAGCATAGGGACTACAGATCGATTTTCGGAAGTCGGGAGCATGGCCGATAGATAAGGGACAGAGCCAGTCTTCAGTAGTCAAATGATCTGTGTTATTGTTTTCCTTTTGCCGCAACGGAGACGCAGGGGAAGGCTTCAGCTCGATAACTGGAAATCGAAGGGGGAAAGCTTCAAGTTGCCATTGACAGCGATGATTGCAGCTTCCTCTTCAGAATTGGGAGAGGAGCAAAAGCAGAAGACTGAGACATGTATTCAATTGGAGAAAGAAGAACATCTAACCACTGAAACTCGAGAAATTTGAAGTGCCATCAATCAGATCTAAAGATCAACCCATAAACGGAACGCCAGATTCCATACTCCCAAACTACCATCGACAAGATCTGAGTAACTAACTGAACATCGAGAGTGACGATCAGATTACAGGAAGGGGAAAAGAAGTACAAAATAGTTAGGGGTCCTGAGTTCGTGGTTGAGCAGAACAGAGGAACTGAAGAAGGAAAAAGAACAAGGAAAGGGAAACGAATTGAAGAGCTGTAGCTGCTAGGGTTAATTGGTCTTTGGTGTTGTGCCTGTATGCTCTCACCACCACGTGTATTAAATTTTTTTCTTTGAATTGCATGTTATCAATTCATTAAAATAAGAGTGGGCCATGGGAACTATCTGTGGCGAAGAATGCAAGCTGGGAACTATTAGAAGCCATATACTAATAGGAGAAATTTTACAATGCTATATAGTATTGGTGCTATAGGATTTTGTCTTTATGGTACAACTTAAAACTGTACATTTACGTTATGGTACAACTTCAGATTGTACCTATACTTTTTGTACAAATTCTTTTATGGTACAACTTGAACTTGTACTTTTATGTGATGGTACAACTTCAAGTTGTAAAGTTGTACCATAACATAATGGTACAAATTGCTTTATGGTACAACCTAAACTTATACATTTAATGTTATGGTACAACTTTAAGTTGTACATTAAAGCACCAATACTATATAGCATAGTAGAAGTGCTCATACTAATAGAAGCAAAATTCTTACATCATAAAGCTGATAAGGAAAAAGGAAAGTTTAATTAAGTGATGTACTCTATATTTTGTTGCTATATTGAGCAATGACGGTAATTTTTTATTATTCTAAATAAATATAATAATATAATAATAACGCTCTCATCACGTTTTTAATATCAAGTCTTTAAAAATTTGACGCTTCCGCGCTCCCGCTCGCGCTCATGCTCTCGCTCCCGCTCTACGAACTGGTTACCTAAATTCAGACTGGAGCGATACAGAGGCGTCAATTTTACGGATTGTAGCAAATTAAATCAAACATCGCTGGACCCCTATGTTGCGGGTAAAAGAACAAAACCAGAAGGAGGTTGAAGAAGGAAGGGCTGTTTTCGATCCGAATTCCGAACACATTCGGATGAGCTCTTATGGGCTCAACGAACTTGATTACTTACCCAGTTATCGGCGGACATAAGGCCGCTAGTTTAAGGCCCAAGTTTCACGTTCTGAGGGCCCAGAATAAAATATTTGCAGGGTAATCGAATCTCTTGCTCACTTGTAAAATGTAATTGAAGCCCGCACATATAAAGTCCCGAGTTTCACCAAAAAGAATGTTTGCAGTTGGGTTTCTTTCTGTACGTTAAGCCCGCACGTATAAAGGCCCGAGTTTTGCCAAAAAGAATGTATGTATGAAAGTTTGAACCCACATCCTCAGGTTCGTACCACGATTGTTAATTAATCGTTAAAATAGCCAGGGATTTAAACCACTAGAGTAGTAGCCCAGCAATTGTGCCACTGACAACCTGTTTTGATTTTAATAATATCGAGCCAAATCAGCAAAAAAAGTGTTTTCACGTAGACTTGAACCTCGTAACAAGATCAACCATCACCCAAGTAAGCAACTTAAACCAGTACCACTAGTTGGCCGCTTGCCACCTGTAAAAATAACGATCTCTTATGACCTTAGATTTAAACTTTAATTCGTAAAATTAGTTGATTGTGGTATGAATCATTCGGTTCTGAAATTTGGAAACAGTTATCCAACCTTGGGTAATAGATTGCGTGAAGGTAAAAAAAAAAAGTAAGTGGTAGCATATGTAATTCAATTTTATGACTGTTGTCAACTACACATATCTTTCATAAGACTACAAGTATTTTGTTGTTCAATTTTAAAATTATCATTTATGGTACTGAAATAGTATGTACGATGGAGTCCATAATTATCATGTTAGCGAGGCACAAAATCGGAAAAAGTAATCCCAATGTAAGCTATTTTGTATGAAAGAGAGTAACACGATCAGTGTCCATTAAATCGTACCGTACCGGCGGTTCAACCACAAAATACCAGTATCGGAGGCTAAACCGATATGCGATATTTACCGATATAATAGTTGAACTACGATTAAACCACGGTTTTACCATAAAATACTCTAACGCTGACTTTCCCGGTACGGTCTCCGGTACGGTGTCATGGACCATGAACACGATAAGACAATAAATCGATCAGTATTTTTGGGATAGATTCGATAGTATACCCGTAATTAACCAACTCGAAATCAGTCATCCCATTTAAAAACACGAACCATGTGTCTTCATGTTTTCTCACATCACATTCTCGAGCTTACTCGACTAACTTGTTTAGTATTTAGTAAAGGAGGTCCAAATGGATCGTCCCTCAGATTTAAAATCAAAGTTATTACAAAACCTCCTTCATTTCACCCTTAAACTTCTCTCGACAATTAACGTTGGATTGTTCTTCGTGAAACATGGAATGAAAGTAGACCACAAGTAATCAAGGTAATTTAACTAATATGAAGATCAAGTTATAGATTTTGAGTATGAAACAATGAGTACATCATTTAGGCCAAGAATGACGGCAACTAAGTAGGTCATCCATTGACAGGGTTCATTAAGCGTTCTTAAAGCGGCGGCGTTGATACTAGAGCTGACCAAGTGCCAATCCCACCTTTTCTATGTTCAACAAAATCCATCCTTGTATGAGTGGAGTCATTAAGTTGCATGTTTCGATCCTCTTCCCCATTACTCATAAAAGAGGAACCCTCGATTCAGGTACAAAAGACTATCATTACCACATGCACAATACTGCTTCATTCGCTAAATGTCACTGCCTTATACTAGCATTGTTTCAACATCGGTCATGGTGCACGCTACCAACATTGTTCAGTGAGTTGTTATCAATATGGGTGGACATAACAGTAAAGACGTCATAGCGAAAGCGACCTTTATTGTCACTAAATCTCGCCGTTGGTACTTGGATAATCTCCAAACTTTTGGTTTAGATAAGTTGTAACTACAATGCAAACTTTTTTATTTCGAGCATGGGTGTCCTATAAAGGAGGTTAGTTAGATTTGTATTACATTTGACAGAATGAATGCTATAGAAAGAAAGACATCATTGGATAGATTATGGGGTTGAGCCACTCGAGTTGAATCAATGTATCTTTCGGTCGACATTCATACACACTTGTCATGATTGTTCACACATGTGATGGTGCACATACAACTTGATGTACGATTTAGATCGATAATCAAATTGGTCCATACAGTTTGACAAAAATGGCATAATTACAAAACAAAAGTGGTACCAATTAATCAAGAATTTGGCGCACCAATCAAATTTTAAAAATGTGTATAGTAAATTTTCATGACCCGTCAACAAATTTAGGCGGGTTATGTGTATATAGGTGTGTCAGTTCGGGTCGGGTTCGGTTACCCGACCCGAAACCCGAAAAAACCCGAAAACCCGAAACCGAAAACCACTAAACCCGAACCCGATAAGGACTTGCGGGTTCCGGTTACCCGAAACCCAAAAATTCCTTATCGGGTTCGAGTTCGGTTAAAGCAAAACCGAAACCCGAAAACCCGAACGCCTAAGAATACGGGTTGAGTTCTATTCATTGGAGATTTTTAGCCAGAACCCAAAAAACCGATAATCAAAACCGAACCCGAAACCGAAAAACCCGAAACCCGAAACAAACCCGAACCCGAAAAACCAAAAATGTATATAATCGGGTCGGTTTCGGGTAAACCCGAAAAACCGAACCTGAATGGACACCCCTATGTGTATATGGTAATGGAAGTAGTAGAACCAAAAAAGATAATGAAAATATTGGAGGGAAAAAAGTGAAAACTCCCTCCACATTTTCGTGTTTGAGGAATTCCGTCCCAAAAAAAATGTGCGACGCGTTGATACTCCCTCTCTCTTCCTAAAGAAAACCCCAAAAATCCTCCATTTCTTGTTCTGCTTTCCTCCAACGAGCAAAAAGCAAACCCATACAATCAGAGGAAGGAATGAAGGGATCTCCTCTCCTGCCCGGTTTCATTCATCTGGACCGAGCCCTAGGTAACTACAGGACCAATTTCCATGACTCCTAGTCAGCTAGGACAGATCTAGATCAGTGATTTATCGATTTCGGCTTGCACATGTTGGTAAAACAATACTTTTTTATCCGATCTGCATTTTTTGGTTGTTAATCCGGGTTTTATTCTTGTTTAGGCTGATTTGGATGAGGATGGTGAGGGCTCACCGGAGAAAGGAGCGTCGGCGGCTTCAGCTGCCGCCGGCGATAAGGTAGTCGACGACCGGAGGGGAGGTTTCAGCAATCGAAGCTGTTGACAATGGAGACAGGAGCTCCATGCAAGGTTTTTTTTTGTTTTGGGTTTTTTTCTAGATTGGGATTTCCCATCCGCTTCCTACGAAGAAGCTGATTTAATATTCGACGGGGTTTTGTCGTCAGCTCCGGGCACTTTGACGGCGCGTCGATTCCACACAGCGGAAGCACAACTGCCGATTTCTTTACTGGTTCGCCCTGCCTGCCAACCTCCTCGGTCGCAACGGTATCGCCCCTTTCTGTCCATGCTCTCTCGGCCGCGCCAACCAGCCGCACCGCCGCCTGTTAGTTTGGTGGCTCGTCCCGCAGGCAATCATCAGCAGTCACCGCCAGGATCCATTGCCACCAAGTCCCTCCTCCTGTCGTCGAAGAGCAGCCTCTCCCTTTCCCAGGTATGAAGTCAATAATGTAGTCCATTTGGAAAGAAAATCGCAAAAATTAAGGTTTGTTGAATTTAGGGATTTTTCCCAATTCTGAATCTAGGGTAAAACTTGAAGAGTGCTTGTCGATTTGTTGGTCCTAAAGCAGGATAGGCAATCCAAATCTGACGAATTAGGTTATCTAAGGCTGGAGTATCAGGGGTGCATGGCATTTAGCCCATCCTGTCACCGTGAGAGGGAGTCGAGTACTGGAAAGACGACTTCGAGTTCTCAAGGTTGTAGAAGGCACTTACCTGGGAAATGTTCCAATCGGAGCTGAGCTCAACCTGGGTCTTGTTCTCTTACCCGTATCTGGTGTTGAAGAACCTTGCTGGCCCCAACGTAGTGTCTTACAACAGTTTTATTTCAGGTATCGGCTTCCATCTATCTCATTTATTTGTCATTTTTGGCTTCAATCAGTCATCTTGCTTCGAAGTGCTCTGTGATTCGAAGAATTTGTGCATCATGGTGTGAATCAGTAGTTGAATGCAAGAGTGTCACTGTAGGGAATTTTCTTGAATTGGGGAGTTCTTGGGAATTCCTGAACTAGTGGGTGGAGTATGCTTTTTGTTGCCAGTTGATCTAAAGTCTGGGGACTGCGTCAAGAGTTATCCTTCGATTCTCGTTTTCAGTTCCAGCATTGAGCTAGTGAAAATGGATGGCAGCTACAGTTCCCTTTTAGTTTAGTTATTTTTCTTTGATGAATTCGAGCTTTCATTGGCGAGAAGGTAGAATTTTTATTGATAACTTCAAGGATGGATATTTACAGTAGGAAATGCAACATGAGAATGGTTTGGACTAATTTCCAATGTAAATTACCTTCCGATCTCCAGTCTGCCTATAGTTCCCTTCCCTTTTATTGATCTTTTGGTTTTGCTTTTCCTTGCTCGATTCAGTTTGATGTTTTGCTAAATTCTGTGGCATGGAAGATTATCAGTAATTCTTCACGTCTACTCATTAAAGAAATCCTTTTTTCGTATTAAGTTCATTGGTTTTCTTGTGAACAGGCTATGGACCAGCTGGATATGCTTTGTTTGTGGCAGTATATGCAGGATTGGAGGTATGTGCTGATTCTCTTATTTAGGCCTTAATTAAATTCAGTTTCATGCATCTAGTGAGATATATGAGAAGTTCTTCGTGGTCTTAATACTAGTAACTACTGATGTGATAGATGCACGATACATGTGATGATTTGAACACCAAATTTAGCATATAGCTTTAATTCCATGTAGACATTTTGTGAAGTTCTGCATACTGATCGAGTTCTTGTGGTCGATGAATGGCCCAAGTTATGATTACTAGTAGCTATGGATATGCTAGATGCACGATACATGTGATGATTTGGACACCAAATTTAGCATAATTCCTTATAGACGTTTTCTGAAGTTCTGGATACTGAGGCCAAATTCGGCTCGTTTGACAGCGGCTACTGTTCGGAGAGGGATTATGTTGGCGGAATCTAAAAATCAGGGTTGGGATTTGGGGAGATTCGTGAAAACATTCTACTTCTTCAATTCCCCTCCGTCCCGAGCTAAGGTGAGCATGTATTGAGTTAACTGTGTTGGTCCTCGTGGTCCTTTGATCGATGGGGAATTGTCCTGGAGATTGTATGAATAATTGTTTTCAATCTTGTGGTTTTGAATAGTTCATTCAGTGTTTGATCAATAGGATTTCCAGTCCATCGCCTTCTGAGGAGAATAAGACAATGAAGACCTCTGGGGTGGTCCTCGTGGTTGGTGCTACTGGTGGTGTCGGTAAAAGAGTGGTTGATATCTTGAAAAAGAAAGGAGTCCCTGTTCGAGCTTTGGTATTCTTCACTTTCTAAATCAAGCCAAATAGAAATTCCTCCCTTGGGTTTCAAATCTCTTCTTGCACGACCTTGTTAACCGAAGAGTGAATTCCACTCGGGGGTCTTTTGTCGATGATTTGGCGTGTTAGGTAATGTTATTTCTCTGAGATTGTCAGATTGTTGGGGACATCACTAAGTAGAACACTTTGAACCCTGAGTACTTTAAGGGGGTCAGTAAAGTCATTAATGCTGCTTCTGTAATTGTCGGTCCGAAGGAGGGTGATACTCCTGATAGGGCCAAGTACAGTCAAGTATGCATTGTCAACCTTATTTACTTCAGTTGATTTTTTCCTTTGTTGGCTCTTCTTTCTCTGATTGTTATTTGTTGAATTGCAGGTAATTAAGTTCTTCGAGCCAGAGATGTGCACAACCATGACGTGTCTTTTCTTCGGACTGATTGACCTTCGAGTACTTTAACAGAAGCCATCAGAGATGCTGTGCAAGTAACTAAATGTTTAACATGTGAGTTGCTCAACACTGATATTAGTGAACTTTTACCTCTCAAATCAAAAACGTTTTCTTCATCTTAAGTTGTTACGAAGGAGGGATTAGGTCTGTGTGATGTGGTTTGCGGATTTATTGTTTCATTGTGTCCGATTTTAGTGTAGCAGTACCAAAATTCAAATAAAATATTTTTTTTATGTTAGTTACAGAAACTCAAATGCGAAAACATAAAGATTTGACCTATTTTTAATTTCAGAGTTTATCTATTTTTTATTTTAAATTGAGATATTGCAGATGCATAAAGATTTTCAGATCCGTAGAAGTCCTTTTCAAACTCAAATGCGACAACAGTGTTTTTGGACAGGTTGTTATAAACTCTTTCGTGAATAAGAATAGTGTTGTCAATCTAACTTTGTGTTTCTGTTGTGTGCAAACTAGTACGTTCCCTTCCCTTCTTCATTCTCATTAAAGTTTCCCCTGTATATTAATTAGTGTTTATTGTGTTCTTCCTTTGCCCCTTTTGCTGGTCTTCTGTGTAATCGTATTTTTGTGCATGTTTACTATGTAGTTGGATAGTAACTGGAAACATGGGGGGTGCGGACAAGGGCAGTGACTCAACTAATGGCCTCAATGGGAATTCTTTGAAGAATACATTGGTGAGCTTCGGATCAGCAACTTTTCAAATTCTATGTTTTATCAAAATGAAGAATATGATGCGAGCGATGTTCACTTCTGTGCTGGAAAATGGGTATTTTTTACGAATCTTTATTATTTGTTTTCGTGGATGCAGGAGAATGCCAAGAAGGTTGAGAATCTGATTAGAGAGGTTTATGAGGGAGTGACGGTGATGTTCATAAAACTGATAGGCGTTTCGATGACCTAGCCATGGACTTATTGGATCTGACATCGAGGAGTTATGAGCATTGTAAACTTTTGAGAGAGACGACTGAAGCGGTTGAAGCGGAAGTTACAGAACTTAGGGGTACCCTGAGTGATGAGGTTGCAGATTTGTCTAAACAGGTTCGTTGCGTGAACAATGCAATCAAAAACCTGAAGACAGATCTGCTGGATGCAGTGAAGAACGAGGTTCAGAAGTTCATTGCGACAAAGAAGGAACGCCAGTATGTCGACTTGACTTTAGAATCAGATGGGGTGAGTTTCTTTTACACGGCTATGTATGCTTTTTATTTCCTTCTTTGCTGACCCTAATTATCATTACATTTTAGGGAAATGGCAAACCTGTACGCTGTGCACGCGCAAGTGCTCGTTCCGTGGGTGGGAAATTGAAGGTGCCAGCGTTTCCGGATATTACAAAACCCAAGAAAAAAACTACAAAATGTAGAGCTGGGCCTTTCACAGTGGGCATTCATGTCAGTCCCGAGGACAGCATGTTAGTGGACTATGTATTCTGTACCGGCAAAGAGGGAGGGTAATTATTTCATAAACTTTTTCAATTTATTAAGTACTTTTGTCTCTGTGACTCTAACTTCAATTATTGCTTTGTTAATTAGTGATGAGAAGATCGCTATGATAATTTGCACCTTTCTAACTAGGGAGGATATTTTGACCCTTGCACCTAACTCTCCACTGAGCACGTTGGTAAGTTCTGAATGTTTGGCCATTGATTTACATTTACAAAGTAACCTACCAAAACCCATTTATAATTAATCTGGTGAACTACAGATTCTAGACACTGTTGTCGAAAAGTTGACATGGGCAGATAGGGACAAAACAAAAAGGGAATGCGCCTTTCTGCCCGTTACATTTGCGGTATGTAATCTATTTTGTTTGTGGCTTTGAGATTTTCATTTGACTGATCATCTTATTGGATTAGGCGAAAGCTTCTGGAAATAGAGACGACCTACGCAGCTTCATCAGCTTAGAGCACGTGAAAACTCTATATTGTACTGACATTCGTGATTGCGAGGCGGTATGTATTTTCATTGTGAATTTGTATATGTATTACACTTAATGTTGGGTTTTTAAAATGCTCTTTATCTTTATATGCTTTTTGTATAGATATTCATTCCCATATACATGGGGAACCATTTCGTGCTGTGCGTGGTAAATCTGAAGAAGCAACAGTACTGTCTTTGGGACTCTCTACCGTCATGCATGGAGAAGACAGAAATTAATCAAAAGCTAGTGGACATTGTAAGTAGATTTTGTAGAGATCGGAATCTGGTAATAGATACACTCGTACTAACATTAACTTGCGCAATTACAGATGGCAGCCTTGGATGTATTGTTTTTTGATGACGGCGCTGCCTGGTTCCATGACGTTAGCTCATTTCTGGCTTTTGAGTACAACCCAACAAATGATGCTCCCCGCCAACCCAATACGTAAGTAGAATAGCAATGTTTTCATTTGTACACCATTTTTTCGAATAAGTTCACTAATATAGCTACTTCTTTGTACAGGTGGGATTGTGGTATGTTTGTGATTAATTGGATGAAATGTGGCCGCTCCTTGAACAAAAAGACAGCAAAGTGCATGGGGAAACGGGTAAGTTAATAAAATCGACTCATTCTCCATTTATTGTGATTTCTCATTTCATTGATCAATTCATTTGTAATTTGGTAGTTCAATAGTGAGGATGAACGTTTGAAGTTGGTGCTGGAACTGATCGATTGCACCCCGAATGAGAAGACAGCCTTACTTGACCGCGCAAGAGAACTGGTCGCATGAATAAGCTTTACTGGAATGAGATGTTTACAGATGCTTAGTTGTGTTTAAACAATTGGGTTGGTTTTTTTTTTTATGTTCTGCAGTTTGCTGGGATTATTATTTCATTGACGAGGATTGGTATCTCTTGTTGATTTCGTTATGTTGTGGGGATTAGTGTTCCAAGTTATGAGGCTTTAGTACTTTGCTTAGACGGCTGGGTTTAAGCTCAATGATATTGCCCATGGATATTTTAATGCGATTTGATGAAACTAAAGAGCTATCTTCTCTTCTTTTCATCTCAGTTCGTTTGAATTTATTCTTTGTATGTTGATGGGAAAGTAAACCGTGTCCTGCTATTATACATTATTGAGTGCAGGGGGTTGTTCATGGGAGCTGTTTACATGTGCTTAATTGACTGTCATTGTGTATCTCTATGGGGGATCGAACCCTCTACCATTCCATGTCACTACATTTAGTCAGCATCTTAAACCACTAGGCTGGTTGCCTGCCATTCGTACATAAGACTATCGTTTACAATTTTACTTAAAGTAGTTGGTGCGAATTGAGAGTAAAACTAAAACAAATACAAAAAACTTAAAGTCTCTGTGGGGGATCGAACCCTCTACCATTCAATGTCACTAAATTTAGTCAGCATCTTAAACCACTAGGCTGGTCGCCTGCCATTTGTACATAAGACTATCGTTTACAATTTTATTCAGGTTTTTTACCCACACTCTGCGCTGGGGTGGATCTTGTAATTAGATAATTTAATTCAGTTTCCATTGATGTCCCACTCTGATATCATGAATATGATCAATGAGTTATTTAACACGAAATTCTTAATCAAGCTGCTAATTTTAACACTACCCAAATGTAATGGTTGTAAAAATAGAGAAGTTCAACTTGAATGAAATTCTGTTTTGGCCCCATGATTGTTTACTCATGCAAAGTTTGTCCACCAGCTAATTAACTAGGAAATTTCCAAGAATTTGCGAGCTAGAGTACATATTACATAATTCAAAGTAGGCATATCTATGCTTGATGCTTCTGCTTTCAGTTCCAGAATTTAGAGCCACACGTAGGGGATAGTACCATTTGATTGCATTACCTGAAATGAATAACAATATAACCACTATAAGCATACCTATATTATTCAAAACAATACTTTGAACGAAAGAATATATACTCAAACCCATGAATTACAAAGAACAATCCAAAAGAGCGTAGTATATCCAAAATGGCAGAAATTAAAAGCAGTGAAGAAGCATTGCACCAACATAAATCAAACAGAAAACAGGAAATCTCAAAAACTTAGAGAACATAAGCACACCAGAATAGTAAACCCAAAAGCTTGAATGTGCTGCCTCTGCAAAGGTGTTCAAAAACGAAATGAAAAGTGGATTTAACTGTTGGGGGAAACTTAGCGAATAATTAGAACAAAAGAAATGCAGCAGAGGAAGCAATGTTATGGAAGCATTTTATCAAAATTGAATTGATCATTGGCCATATCAGTACAAATGAGTATTGTGACTACAGTTGCAGTGTCTTGACTATAAAATAAATAAAATTATATTGCATACTTACTTCAAGAATCGTCGTTGTCATCGTCGTCCTCCTCCTCTTCATCATCGTCCCCATCCTCGTCATCATCCTGAGAGTCATCCTCGTCCACTTCCTCTTCCTCGTCGTCCTCGTCCTCCTCGACCTCGTTATCAAGCTCGTCCTCTGCCTCAACCTTTGCTGTGCTCTTGTTTCTAACTTGCTCACTCGAACTGTTCGTCGAATTTTTTGGAGGATTTTTACAAGTTGAGGCATAATGACCAAAACCACCACAATGGCCACATTGTCTCGATTTGACGACCTTCCCCTTCTTGTTCTTAGTCAGCCGACCACCTTTAAATCGCGTCTGTACCGGATCTTTAACACCTTTATAACGTTCAGATGCATCACTGTGATCATCTTCAATAGGCTCTGAGGAAGCACCTTTCCTAAGAGTACTCATTCCCTTCAATTTCGCACACAATGCTGAAATCTCTGCACGAGCAACTTTGAACATACTTGGAGATTCGGCAGCTAAGGATGTCAATTGTAAGTTGTGGTACTGTATAATGCCAGATCTCCATATGCGTTCTTCTTCCTCTGATGGAGTGTCATTTCTTTGAAGTTTTTCCATAGTACCTTTTGGGTCTTTTCTCCACCTCGACAAAACCAACTCCGAAGGCAACTCTTTCACTCGCTGCTCCCGTAATACAGAAATCATGTGTGCGCAGAGCATACCGGTACTACGAAACTTGTAACAACTGCACTCCATTTCTGATGTGGTTGGTTGATATGTAACTTCTATGACAACCTCGGAGTCTTCATACATTGTCATCTCATAGACACGGTGAGAAGATCTTTCAAAAGATCTGGTCATAATGCATCCATTAGATGCTTCGAGCTGCTCCCGAAATGTAAAAATGCCTCCCTTGAGTAAACACTAGCACCACTTATTTCGAGAGATCTCAAACCTGTGTTTCTTAGCTCAGGAGTTCCATAGTTGGACTTGAAGTCTGCTTTAACCTCATTCTCTCTGAAATGTCGCAATGCTCGATCAAAATCATTCACAAACTCCAGGAGATTATGCTGACAACTAACGTACTTCTTAATGAATGAATTGACCCCTTCACAACGAGATGTCGTCCGGACGTTAGCAAAAAACTTATCTCTTAAGTATGTAGTTGCCCACTCTCGCCGTTTCTCATAAGTGTTTCCAATCCAGGTATTGTCCTCAACTGAAAACTTGGTGATCAATGACCTCCACCTCTCTTCAAACTCCTCAATCCCACAATCAGCAAACATGCATATCTTGAACGAGAAAAGAAACTTCTTATCCTTCACATGGTCCTTTGCATTACCAAACAGATGCCATGAGCACAAACGATGGGTTGCATCAGGAAAAACCTTACTAACAGCATTCGCCATTGCTTTATCTCCATCTGTGACAACGGCATTAGGCTTCTTACCCATTGCTTCCACAAAGGCTTCTAACACCCAATTATAGGATTCTTCATTTTCATTGTTCAAGAGTGCACATGCAAACACACACGTGTTGTTGTGATGATTTACACCTACAATCGAAAAATGTAATGTCAAATTAAAGTCAAAACAAAGATTTTAGTAATGAAGTAATTAGATTACCGAACTTTTTACAATATTGAACAAACATATGTAGATTGAAATTAAAGCATCACAATATTTCAAAACAACAAAAAACTTGTAATTCTAATAATATACCTGAGAATATCACTAGAGGCATATTGTACGCATTTTTCTTGTATGTAGTGTCAAACGATAACACATCACCGAAGCATCCAAAGTCTACCCTGCTTATGCTATCCGCCCAAAATAACTTCTCCAGTCTCGAGTCTTCACCAACTTTGAACCTCATAAAAAACCCATTGTCATTGTAGCTTTTACAACTCAAGTAACTCAGTGCAGCTGTAGCATCACCGTTGCTGATGTTTTCTTTTCGGCACCTATCGACATAGTTATATACGTCTTGCCTCGTATACCCCACATTAGCATACCCACCAGCTGCATTGGACACAACATTCATGATTTGACAGGGCCTCAACCCGCCAGATTTCAAACTTGAGACAAGTGATGCATCTGCTTTACTCAACTCACGGTGTGATCTAAGGTGATGAACTTAATGGTAGGGAGCTAATTGATGATTATGCTCATTTCTAAACCGAGTAACATGCCATCTCATGTCCTTCTTCTTCTTCAAAGTGATAAGCATATAAGCTTCACAACCAAACCTCGTTACTACCCTTGGTTCTATTTTTCTGTCTGTAGTTTTGTTTATTCTGAAACCTGCACCAGAACAAACCCACTTGCGCGACACGATTTCTTTATTTTTATCATACCGAGTATTACTCTTTCTAGTTCCAAACCCAATTGCTCTGGAAAATCTCCTATAGAAAGCTTCACCATCCTGCAAACTACCAAAAGTCATTTTGTAGACATCAGTAGCCTTCAACTTCGATAAATTTTCCCATTCTTCTTCCTCAACATGAATAGATTGTTCGGTTTCTTCTTCATCCACATCGTCAACATGAATAGATTGTTCTGTCTCTTCTTCTCCACCATTCTCATTTGCCACAGATTGTGCGGTTCCTTCTCCCTCTTCATTCACACGACCTTGTTCAACTTCTACTCCTTTTTCCATTTCAGTAAAGGTCTCCTCCACATTTGGCTCTACCCTAAGGTCACTCCTGTAACAAATGAAATAAAAATGGCTATTAAAGTGAGCCGATCTGTTGATAATATAAAATCACATTTACGGATGACTAACCTTTCCCTTGTCGGTGCAATACTGCTGGTGGGTTCCATCGTCCACTTTCAACTAGCTTTGTTGTTTTCTCAAAAGCCAATATGGTTTCAATGATTACGTTGTAGTTAAGAGAAAAGCTACATAAAAACCATGTATAAGTAAAGACAGAACCTTTATGTGTTATAGGTAGGACAAACGACAGAAAAGGAACACATCCAGTGTAAGAGAACTCTAACTTCAAAACCATCAGAAATCATTGCTACCAGGTCACATATTAAGACCTGCTTGTTTGCATGAATTTAACATGGAAATATCTATCTCAAAAGACTGGTATTTTTTTAACTTTATCATGATTCTCATTATCATCATAGGCCATCATTCCTCCAACTTGGGCGCCACCCTACTCTCCTCTTCATATCATCATCACGTTTCCCAACGAACAGCACAAATAAAAAACTGCAACACTGGGTTTGTTTACATTACAAACCAACGAGCAGAATACACAACTTTGCCAATATGAAAGGCAAAACCTATATGAGAATGGCCCTATTTTACAGCCAAAAACAAAATAATTTATGTGCAGTCAGCAACTTCAATACTTCATAATTCCACTAATAAACGAAAAGGGAGAAACACGAACGAATCACAAAGCCAACGATGGCAATGTTTACTCCTTTGAGACTAAAAATACCCTAAAATAGACAGACGAAGAGACAGTACCATACATCAACAAAGCCCCATGCTCAAAAATCACTAAATCAGAGAGAAACCAAGAAATAAATTCAGGAGCAGTTCACACACACCGGAAGGAAAAACGCAAGGTCCGTTTCTTACCTTTGACGACTCCCGATCCCGGATACGTCAAGAAGCAGCAAGTTGGAACTGAATTGGAATGCCAAGTGAGATTCAGTCCCAATTCTACTGTGGACCGCAAACACACTCGATCAATCGCGGAAGTGGTGGTGTCGGCTACTGGGTCATTCCAGTTAAACTAAAATTGGTCAGGACACAAGATTGAGATTGCTAAAAACCTAGAATTGATTGCCAACAGCGGCCAATAACCGGAACCAACTTTAGTTTATCGCCGCAACGAAATTGAGGACAGGAGACTTACGACTTGGATATTGAGTGTCGAACTGCTCCGCTCTGCTCCGCCCTGCTCTACTTAAATAGAATGGAAACGTTTCCTACTTGGCCGGGAATGGCTTTGGCTGACTGGCTACGGCGTACCCTTGAAATCGGGGCGATGGCGGGTTGGGGAAAATTGAAAAATGGACAATTTTGATTAGCTTCACGGGCATGATTCACTTTTCTTTGTAACCGCCGGATAGTTCGTAGTTAAAATGCTTCGGGCTACGACCCAATCTGGGCCACAGGCCCAAATGGATCTCCAGCTCCAGAGTACCTCAACCCCTAAAGGATGGTGAACATCTGCTGCTTTCCCCCAACTCCCACCACCGGCAGCACCCCTTCCGTTCCAATCCCCTTTAGTCGCCCCCAGGACGTTCACCATCCTTCACTCGTCGATCCGGTCCGTGGCCTGCAACCCCTACAAAGTAAAAACAAAGGAATCAGAGAAAAAAAATTCGTTCTTGATTCGTTCCCAGAAATCGTAACTTTCTCTTCAATTGTTCGAGTATCTCGATCCTTGCCTCGTTTCCGCTTCTTTCTTGGTCGATTTGTTCGATTTCCCGACGAATTCGCCTTTGTTTTCCTTTCGATTCCATCGTTTCCTTGACGAATTCGTGTTTTCTCCAATGTCTTCAATCGGTGCTTCAGCTCTGAGTTGTGGTGCGATGGCTCATCTTTTCTTCGAGATCCGCTTCTCTCATCTCCGCTCCCGTCGATGCGAACCATGATTATTTCTTCGGCAATACCCATAGCTTGCATCGTCGTCGCCCTTCAGTAAACAGCTCCGTCAGTTCCAGCTACTCGTGTCGCCCGACGATTCTTCTCGGTTACATCCAGCTCATCCAGTCGCTCCAGTCCAGGTTCTCAATTGCTCTAGGCGAAGAGTTTCTGGGTTGCTGGGCATCTGGGTTTCGCGAACACAGGTCGTATCGCCGGCAAGGATTGATTGCCTAGGGAGATGCAAAGCAACACTTCACCTCTTAGAAACTAATTTTTTTAGTGGTCTCTGTTGGGTGGGAGGAACAAGTGGGTTCGGAGAAGAGAAGATGAGAGAAGAACAAGCCGGTGTAATGACGGGGGCCAAGTTGCAATTATCATTAAGTATAAATTGTTTTAATAAATATAAAATAGTTGATTAGTTAATAATTAGTTATAAACAAAGCAAATTATTGTAACCGTTAGATGTGTTCAACGGTTGAGATTAAACAAAAAAGTGGGTGCACCGAAGTAGCCACCATATATATATATATATATATATATATATATATATATATATATATATATCCGACATGTATAATTGTTTTAGTCATATCATTAAAATTATATTGAGTATGTTACGAGAGTGATTTTTGACATACTCTTGTACAATAAAAATTTAGTTGTTGACTATCATAAAAGTTTGATGGGTTTAATCTTCGGAGCATCTTTTGGTAGAGTCCCTCGAAGAAGATGACCACAATGATCATCACACCGCTTGTCAAGCGCTTCATAAGTTTCCGCAGGGATATAATTTGAAGAAATAGGCATGTTTGTGAACCCTGTGCAACGCTTAAAACAAGCCTTGAAAGTGTCTGCGGCGCACAGATGTGGGAAAGTGTGAGCAACGACGGATAGTATAAGAACTAATGACACAATGGTTTTGGTGTTTGTCATGATCGTGATGTCTTTATTCTCCGAATGAATATAATCAAGTTTTGTTCAAACTAAGATGATTTCTTTGGTAGATTCTCATTACTTATAATTTATCACCTTTATCACCTTTACTAATAATGCTTAGTCGACATTGATGGGGTTTATTATGTAAACATATATATATACACTAGCTGTCTAGCTCGTACCTTGTTGTCTAGTAATTGCTCACCGTCAGTCTACATAATCCTAACTCCTATAAGGAGGTTCTTGGCCGGAACCCCTTCAACCTCACTTTTCCTGCACTGTGCGCAGTTCACGGAGGGATAGTTTGGGAATATTATTTGTAACACTGAATTGGGCCGTGAATCAATTTTTTATTACTTAGCCAGTACAGAACGGATGGGCCCTCCCTCAAAGCCCATTGCAGCTCCTAAATTAGCAGTATTGTTAGGATTTAGAATAGTTTGGATCTATCGAATTAGTGATCATGGGGACATAATTATCAAACGTTGATGACTTTTTTTTTCTTATTTACCCAACGATAGGGTTATGTTTCCACTTCAGGGCATTTGTAATTGGTGATAATGAACTCTCTAGAACTCAAATTACACACATATATTGAATATCTTGCTCGGCAATGCAATCAACCTGACTTCGAATGATAATAAAAGTTTCATTATTTGTTTTTGTCGTGTCTATTTTTATCCAAACAATTTTCATATTCTTTTATATTATCTAAACCTTTTTTTTTTGGACAAAAGATAATCTTATAAATGATCAAAACATAGTTACACCCTGGAGTTCAGCCAGGTCTGATAATCAAAATAACGGCTGCTAGCCGGGTACAAACTCAGGGCCTTTCTAGCCACCAAATGGGCTACCCTATTGACACGCCGACCAATAAACCGAACACTAAAACCTGGAGTCCTATCAAAATACTGAAGCACCTCTTCCAGCACAGTGCCGACCCTACCGTCCCTATCCTCCGCCCGCCTGATCTTATCAATAACCACCTTGGCGTCCCCTTCAAATTGTACACAGGAGAGGCCCTGCCCTAGACACCAACGGACTGCTTCCCGCAATGCTAGCAATTCCACCACCAGAGGGTCATCAATGACTGGGAATTGGAACCCATTGGCCATATGGATCTCTCGATTAGGGCCCATAAGCACCACACCCCCTGCTGAGTGCGATCCTCTTCTGGTAGCCCCATCCCACCCACAAATCAACCCCGGTACCCCTTCCTGAGTTGGAAAGTCGGTTTCTGGCACTACAGGGGCCATACCAGGCGTATCCACCGGGAGGCGCACCCATTCCTCATACTGTTGTAAGAACTGACGCATCAGTGCCGCCACACTATACTGCTTGCATTCAAACACCACCCAATTACGAGATCGCGAGATTCGCCAAAGAATGGCCACTACAGCCAGAAACAGCGTAGGCTGGTGAATGAGTGCCAACACTTTTTTCAGGAATAGCGGAAAAGAGCTCCGGGGTAACCCCTCGCCAATATGTTCTAGGTCCGCTGCTCCCCAGAGTTCACGGGCCACACGGCAATCCAGGAACAAATGCTCAAGGGACTCCGTCCCCTCCCAGCACACCGGGCAGCGAGGGAGAACCAGAATCCTTCTCTCCAACAATGCTTCAGTAGTCGGGAGGATTCGATTGAAAATTTGCCAGACAAACACTTTCAACTTCGGTGGAATGTTGGCCTCCCAAAGGCGGATCCAACTAGCCCTATCCATCAAGTCTGCCCTAGCTTTCCACCGCCCCCTTCTTCTGTCCAGGGTGACCGCCAAATGGTATGCAGATTTAACCGTAAAGACCCCATCCATCGTGTCATGCCAGATAAGCCTATCCTCCACATTCGCCCGTGGGAGAGGAATAGCCTTAATATTTCGACAGGTCGGCGGATCAAACCATTGACTAAGTTTAACATCACACCAGCGACCCTCCCCTTGACAAATTTTTCATTATGCATCAAAATATTAGCCATTTTTACGTTATTGTTAATAATTTTTTAACTCTTTTCTTAGTTAAAATACTAAAATTTTGGAATGTTAACCTTCATGTGTCTCTTCCAAGTCAGTATCATGTTGTCAAGTCAATATTACTAACAAAATCGATGGTATGAATATCGTTGAAATATATTTTTTCCCGTAATGAAATATCAATTAATTATTCGTTGTTATAATCTCTCTAGCTATTTCGCATTGATTGAACTTACAAAATCATTATTCTCCAATTTGCATTTCAGAATTTGACATAAGCCAGAGTTGAAGACAATTAATCAACGATTGACCAAATTAGCAAGAAGGAAACGTGTTATTTATATAAGGCAGAAGCATAAATATGCAAAAATTGTGAACATTCCCACTGGTAATATATTTGTTTCATGTTTGTTTTCGATTCATATGTTATCAAATTATGTGTTAGCCACTAGGATTGCTTATTTTACTAATTCGTATATAGGATTGCAAAATGAGATAAATAACTTACAATCTAGAGTTAATATATTTATATTGACGGAACTTTTCACATAATAAACATCCAGACAATCTTTTTGATGTATAACATCATGGCCCAAACTATACACCAAAGTTACGACATTGGACAAACCCAAAAATTGACCGTTAATTTGGATGGTCAAACATGTTGACTAACGGTCAACGTGCCATGTCATCACCAAGTCAACACCTTTCACTTAAAAAATTTATATTTTCCACCTATTACTATTTATATTTTTCATTTTGAATAAAAAAAATAGTAATAGGTGGAAAATATAAGGTAGGTAGGGTAAATGGCAAGGACCCAAAATTCATTTTTCAGTTTTCAATTTTTTGATATTCAACATGAAAAAAATAAATAGTAATAGGTGGAAAATATAATTTTTTAAAGTAAAAGGTGGTGATGTGGCACGTTGACCATTAGTCAACACATTTGATCATCCAAGTTAACGGTCAATATTTGGGTTTGGCCAGCTTCGTTACTTTGGTGTATAATGGTATGATTAATTTACTATTTTGTCTAGGGCTATCAAGTATTTGTTCAAAATATATCAACAAACCTGAAGACAGAGCAATGGCGACATTGGAATCTATAACTGGTGTTAATGGAGAACACCATAACCAAGAAAAATCTTCAGTAGCGTGCATTTGTATTAATGAGATTAAAGCATTTCTAAACTGTCATCACATCAGGTGAGGCATGCTGGAGACTTTTTAAGTTTGATGTTTGCAGCAGTTTACCTTCTGTGTTGCGTATATCATGTCATTTGTCTAGGGAGAATAAAGCTATTGAAAAAGATGAAACATCAATGTTGTAGTCATGGATGAAAATAAATGCTCATTCTTACGAGGCACGAAAATATACCTTTGTGGAGTTTCCTTAGTAATTTGTTTGGAATCGTAATTTGAAAAGGTGGCAGATGAGGAGAGCAAGATTTGTATTGGAAGATTGTATTATTATCCTCCACTAGGAAAAAAAGATTTGATCTTCGCATGTTGCTGCATTTAGTCAGAGGGTGTCGTTCTTATGAAGAAATTAAAACAATTAATGGTGTTGTCCATAATTCCTTCCAAAAACCATGTTATGCTCTTCGATTATTGGCAGATGATGATGAGTGGAGTAGCTGTTTGAAAGAAGTTGTCTTCTAGGGTTCTAGATATAAAGTAAGGAATCCGTTTGTCACAATTCTTATGCACTGCCAAGTGTCTGATGTGTAATCTTTGTAGAAAGGAATTGGGATTTATTGAGCGATGATATACTGTTCAAACGAAAAAGGGATTTAAATTTACCCAATTTGCAGTTATTTACTAATGAGATCAAAGATATATGCTTGGTGGAGATTGATAAATTGTTGCAAAAATATTGGAAGTCTCTAGCTGATTTCCCAGGTTTGTCCATTCCATTTGGAGCTATGAGATCAACTTATGAAAATTTAATGATCACTGAGGAGTTAAATTACAATTTAGAAGATTTGATGAAGGATTTCAGTACATTGTATCCAGAATTGAATTCGAAGTAGATGAAGGCAATCGATGAAATTAATCAAACTGTGGAGGAAAGAAACGGGAGTAATTATCAATCTTTTTTTGTGATAACAGTGACGGCGATGGACCAAATTCACCGGCGAAAAGCATGGAAGCACATCAAAGGAAGGATGAGGATGAACATGACACTTACGATGAGTAAAGATAAGGGTTATTCAAAACAATTAAAGAATTCGGTACCCTGGTAAAGGGTTTGTCGTTCATTTTTCGTGAATTAATTATGTTGGATGAGTCGGTTAAAATGTCCCAGCATACTATGATTTTCGTATTTTAAATTGATTAAGTACTTTAATAATTTGGACTCTTTTATGTTACGGAGAAATCTTACTATTCGGTAATTTCAGCAATCTAGATTATCGACAACAAACAAAACACACGAAACTCATGCTACTCCTATTCTGTATTAACACGATTCGCAAATTAACCCAACATTGCTACCTATTTATTATTTACGCAATTTAGAAATGTCCGTGACTAGTTCTTATTAAGCTTACTTTAGAGACACCCGGCCCACTTGTTAAATAAATCGAAAGTGAAACTACTCATTCTCATTGACTTAACTTTTCTCGCGTTCAAATTTAAAGTCCAAAATTACTAAACAATACCCGTATTGTCTCATTGCATTAACAATGAAAAGTTCAAACATAAACCTTTGCGAAAGAAAAAAAAAAGTTCAAACATAAACATGAACTAAAATTCCGAATACTAAACATCGATCATCATCAATTGGTGACACCGGCAACGGCACAGGCACCGGAGCGCTTGGCCAGAAATAGAAACCAACCGAGGTTGAGAGCCGCTAGCCCAGCCACCACAAAGTAGTGGTAGTCTAGCCTTCCTCCATTATCCGACAACCAATTGATCTTGTTGTTAGTCGGCGATTTGGTGGCAGCGGCGACGATACTGTCGACCATCACGGCGCCAAAGCTCCCAAAAGAGTAGCCTAGCGCGAACAAGCCGCCCGTCAAGCTGGCCATTGTTGCGGGAAGCTCGGCGTGGTAGAAGTCTATCTGAGCCACGCCGTTAAACCCGTCGGCGACTCCGAGGAGCACCAGCTGCGGCACCAGCCAAAAACATACGGCGGTTCCACGCGTCGCCGGCGCTGGCCTTCCACAATCGCCGCCACAGCCACAGCAAGGGTGGAGATGCACATGCCGATCCCCATTCTCTTCAGTGTGGACAGCTCCAGGAGCCTTTTGATGCGGTTCTGAGCACCACTGCTTCTCCTCTTTCTGGCGAGTGGGATGATGACGTTGTTGTAGAGTGCGACCCACGTGGTGAGGGCCACCGCCGAGAAGATCCCCGTTGAAGCCGCCGGGAGTTTCAGCTTGGTGCCAATCTTCCTGTCCATGGCAGATGCCTGGGCGTATCCGTGAGTTTGGAGCTCCGACGACACCATCTGGTAGATGACGGCGGGAGCCCACATCAGCAGCACCTTGACCACCGATTTGGCATCCTCCACTTGTTCGATGGAGCAGAGTCTCCATGGATGCTGCAGGTGGTAGTCCACGGCTGAAGGCCTGGCGGTGGTGATTTCTCGTCCTTCTTCTTCTTCTTCTTCTTCTTCTTCCCCGGCGTTGCTGCTGATTGCCGCCATGAGGATGGCCGCCTTCTCCAACAACCTGCAGCAGGCACATCGGAGGAGGCAGATGAGATGAAAAGAAAAATGGAAATTAGGTTGGAATTGGAATAGATAGACAGATCAATTTAAAAGAAGGAAATAGCCCATTCTTTTGTTTTGGTCCGAATATGGGCTCAGGCCCAACGCTAACAACAGATAGATGACTTTAATAATCTCAAAGGGCCCAATTTACCAAGCACGTACAATACAATTGGTGCCGTCCATGGCCATGCACGTACAGTACAGATAAAGCGTTTATCTGAGGTGGTTGGTCTTGCAAACGGTGGCGGCGGGCTGGCCATGACCATGAGAAGGGCAGCTGAAGATGTGATTGGGGTGGGAAGGAAATGGCAGATTCCGGTTCCTGAAGCTGGCGATGAAGACTTGCAGCAACGAGACCACGGGGCTCCCCTCCGGCTTGGACTTGACGTAGATCGGCGATCCGGCGAAGAAGAGGAGGTAGGAGAGCATCATAAAGCAAGTCGGGATGAGGAACCCCACCACCCAGCTTTTTGTGATCTCTGGACGATGGGTATGACTATGTGATGAAGTTCAAGGGAGTAGTTGATTTGAATCAACGAGAAGAAGAGAAGCAGAAGTCCAGAAGAAAGCAGCAGCTGATGGTTACAGAAATTGCAGAAGAAGAAAGTTGGAGTTTAAGTCTCATTCGAGAAGAAACGTTTCATGATTGGAAACGTGCATGGTGGCTGAACGCAGCGTTGCGTTTGAAGTAGTTGTTAGTTATTTACAGAACAATAGTAGTTTGACCCTTGGCTTTGTTACCGTTAAGTTACAGTAAATTTGGAATCCTATAAATAAAGAATCCCAGCACGAGATAAGCTGAGGAATTCCCATCTCCTTCTTCCTCCTTTACTTTTCTGCTCAATCAAACCCTTCCTTAGAAAGTTTCATGGTATCAGAGCAGATCTAAGGGATCATGTCAGGCACAACAAGTGGAGGCACCAACACTCCACCCAATACTCCGTCGATGAACTTTGGGTCTTTCCAAGGCCAACCGACGAACAATCAAGGCAGCAACAACCGAGCTGCAGATCTGAGTTTTGGTAACCCATTCTATATAAACCCTAATGAGAATTTGGCTCAATCTATAGTACCCATTGTTTTAGATGGTCCAAATTATCAGACCTGGTCTAAGGCAGTGAAGGTGGTTCTTAAGACTAAGAACAAGCTAGGCTTTATAGATGGGTCGATCGTTGCTCCAAACAAAAATGACAATCTATTTCAGATCTGGGATGTTTGTAATACCATTGTGCTATGTTGGATTACTAACTCTCTAGAGAAGGACATTGCAAGAAGTGTTCTCAGTCATGATAATGCTCATGCTTTGTGGAATGAGCTTAAGGATCGTTATGGTCAAGCTGATGCACAGAAACTTACTAATCTCGAAGATGAAATTCATGCTACCAAACAAGGAACTCAGACCATTACCCAGTACTATACTCATATGAAGGGTCTTTGGGAAGAGTATAGTCAGTTTAATCCTATTGTGCCTTGTGGTTGTTTACCTGGGAATCCTTTATCTTGTGCTGCTGTTGAGGCATTTAAGTTGAAGCAGAACACAGACTATCTAATTCGATTCCTACGAGGGTTGAATGCTGAGTATGATTACATCAGGACACAGCAGTTGATGCAAAAGCCTTTGCCAACAATGGTGCAAGCCTTTCATGACTTGTTACAACATGAACAAAAGCTTAAGGCAGATGGAAAGGGATCAAGTAACAAGGCAACAACTCAATCAGTTGCTCTGGCAGCCAGTTCTCACAGTGGAACTGGATCTACAAACTCTACCACAACATCTCAAAGTCCATACAAAGGAAGTGGAGAAACTGGTACTTACAAAGGAAGTGGTGAGACTGACCAGTTGTTTTGCAACTACTGCAAGAAGACAAATCATGTGATTAAAGACTGTTGGAGACTTAAGAAGAAGAGACAGGATAGAGAAGGATCAATCAATAGGTTTTCTGGTGCAGTAGCTCAAGATACAGATGTTGAAGGAGACAGGAACTTACAAGTTGAGGTTGGAAGCAGATTTTCAAACACTTTTGGTGGTTTTACTGCAGAGGAGATGAACAAGCTGAGAAGCCTCTTGCAGTCTTCAAGTTCCAACTCACCAACCTCACCTCAGAGTCCTGCAATCAATCATAGGTCACATTCTGTGACTAATTACCTACCTCAATTCCCAAACTATGGAGGTAAGCATGTTCTGTCAACTTATCAGAATCACAAAACTTTACAAAACACATGGATATTTGACACTGGTGCATCAGATCACATTGCTTGTTCCATTTCCCTTTTTGATAGTTGTTCTCCTGTGTCTGAAGTTTTTGTTTATCTTCCTAATCGAGCAAGGGTCCAAGTTTCACACATAGGCTCAGTTAGATTGTCTCCACATCTCTTCTTGCATAATGTTATTCTAGTTCCTAGTTTCACCTTCAACCTTGTCTCTGTTAGTAAGCTCACACATGACCTCCCAATCTCACTCATATTTCAATCTGACCTTTGTCGTGTTCAGGACCTAGTGACCAGCAAGAGGATTGGTTTGGCAAAAGAAAATAGAGGCCTATATCATTTCCTACCAGACCAGCCTATCATACCAAACACTATCTCTCAAGTTGCTTCCATTTACAATTTTGAATCCCACAAGATTGAGCTGTGACATTGGAGATTAGGCCACCCCAGTAATAGTAGTACTTTGCTTATTAACAAATGTAATCCAACAGTTCCTGTTGAGAGAGTGAAACACTGTGAGCATTGCCATTTATCCAGGCAAAAGAGATTACCTTTCCCTTTGAGTGATTCTAAGGCTTCAGACATTTTTGTATTGGTGCATGTTGACATTTGGGGTCCATTGTCAGTTAATTCTCATGATGGTTATTTTTACTTCCTAACCATTGTTGATGATCATTCTCGTGCTGTTTGGGTTTACTTAATGAAACAAAAGTCTGAGGCAAGAGGGCTGTTGATTGGATTTTGTAAAATGGTTCATAACCAATTTGGAAAGACAGTTAAAACAGTGAGGAGTGATCAGGGAAAAGAGTTTTACATGTGTGATTTTTACCTTAATCAGGGCATAGAACATCAAACCTCCTGTACTTATACACCTGAACAAAATGGGAGGGTAGAACGCAAACATCAATACATCTTAAATGTGGCACGTGCTCTGAGATTTCATTCAGGTGTACCTCTTAATTTCTGGAGTGATTGTGTGATTCATGTTGTTTACATAATCAACAGACTTCCAACTCCAGTTTTACAGAACAAGTCTCCCTATGAAATACTATACCAAAAACCTCCTTTCCTTGGTCATTTAAGAGTTTTTGGGTGTTTAGCATATGCTGCTAGCACTGTTCCAGGCAGAACCAAATTAGATCCAAGAGCTAGACAATGCATCTTTCTTGGACTTCCAGCAGGCATTAAAGGTTACAAGTTGTTTGATCTGAATTCACATGACTTCATAGTTTCTAGGGATGTGATCTTCTATGAAGACATATTTCCATTTAAAACTCTGAACTCAACTCCAGAAGTTGACAGTGAACATGTTGAAACCAATTCATCACCTGTCTTTCCATCAGTCTCAGATAGTAGTCCTCCTCCTGTCAGTAGTCCTTCTTTACAGGGTAATGTCAATAGTCCTTCCACACAGGGTCATGTCATTAGTCCTTCCTGTCAACCTTCTTTTTCTTCTTCTCATCCTACAAGCAATGAATTTGATGCATCATTTGATAATACTCCTGTGTGTGAGACTGATCTAAGGTTAGAGAATGAAGGAGAAGAAGCAGAACTCCAGCAACTGGAGGAACATGAGGCAGAACCAGTTAGGACAAGGCCTCAGAGAAATGTTAATCTACCAGCTAGATTAAAGGACTACTACTTGGGAATTGTCACCAAGTATCCAATCACAGATGTGGTTGACTATAAGTTGTTGACTGAAGATATGAGAAGATATGCAGTTAATATGGTGACAATGGTTGAACCAGCTTCTTTTGAAGAAGCCAATGAAGAAGAGTGCTGGAGATTGGCAATGAAGGAAGAATTACTTGCACTTATTGAAACCCAAACTTGGGAGTTAGTTAAGTTACCTCCAGGGAAGAAGGCAATTGGGTGTAGATGGGTATACAAAATTAAACTCAAACCATATTGAAGTATTGAAAGATTTAAGGCCAGATTAGTGGCAAAGGGTTTTACTCAAGTTTATGGAATCGATTTTCTGGATACCTTCTCACCAGTTGCCAAGAACAATTCAGTCAAAACACTGCTTGCAGTTGCAGCAGCAAAGGACTGGTGTTTACATCAGTTAGATGTTTCCAATGCATTTCTGCATGGAGACTTGGAAGAAGATGTGTATATGCAGTTACCATCAGGTTTTCCAGTGGATGAAAGTTCTGAAGGAATGGTTTGTAAACTCAAAAAGTCATTATATGGCTTGAAACAAGCTAATAGGCAGTGATTTGCTAAGCTTACTAGATCTCTCTTGAAGAATGGATTCTCACAGTCTTCATCTGATTATTCCATGTTTGTTAAATGGGTTCAGGGAAGGATTGTGATTGTCCTAGTTTATGTTGATGATATAATACTTGCAGGTCCCAGATTAGGTGATTTGGAGGCTGTTAAGTTGTTCCTGAAAAGGGATTTTAAGATCAAGGATCTTGGAAGTTTAAAATACTTCCTGGGATTGGAAGTGACAAGGAATTCTAGTGGGATTTCAGTCTCACAAAGGAAGTATAGCATGGACTTACTTGCAGAAACAGGATTGTTGGATGCCAAGAGCAGTAAAAGTCCACTTGATTGTAAGATTAAATTGAGTGCAACAGAAGGAACACTGCTACCAGATCCAAGTGTGTACAAGAGATTGGTGGGCAGATTACACTACTTGACAGTGACCAGGACAGACATTGCTTTCCCAGTACAGCAGCTGTGTCAATACCAGATACAACCAAGAGACACTCACTTACAAG